AACTTACCCTCCACCCACGAGCCCACTAACCACTGCACCACTAACGTCTCCAGCCCATTCAACTGAACCATCTATCACAGACAGTCCAATAACACAAGCACCCCCAACAGAACCTCCAGTAACGAACCCTCCAGCTACACAGACTCCGCAAACGGAACCGACCAGTGCACCAACAGAACCTCCTGTGACCAGCCCATCGGCTACTCCATCGCCACCCACAGATCCTCCTGCGACGGCTACACCTACCCAGCCGCCACCAACATCCTCGCCCACCCAACCTCCTGTGACGGCTTCACCGACTGAGCCACCAGCTACGCAATCCCCATCCACAGAATATCCTACGACGTCTACACCCACGGAGCCGCCGGCTACGTCATTGCCACGAACAGAACCTCCTACGGCGGCTACGCCATTGCCACCGACAGAACCTCCTATGACTGCTACACCGACCGAGCCACCGACTACGCAATCCCCATCCACAGAATATCCAACGACGGCTACACCGCCGGCTCCGCCATTGCCACCGACAGAACCTCCTATGACTGCTACACCGGCTACACCATCCCCACCCACAGAATTTCCTACGACGGCTACACCAACTGAATCGCCGGCTACGCCATTGCCACCGACAGAACCTCCTGTGACGGCTACACCGACCGAGCCACTGACTACGAAATCGCCAACCATAGAACCCCCTATGACGGCTACACCGACTGAGCCACCAGCGACAGCATTGCCACCAACAGAACCTCCTGCGACCGACGCACCGGCTACACCATTCCCACCCACAGAACCTACTGAAGCTCCAATTTCTCAACCACCTCAATCTCAAGTACCACCTCAGACTGAAGCTCCACCAACTTCTACACCAACACTGTCAACAGAGGTTCCGCCTTCGGAAGGACCAATTACTCCTCCAACCGCAGCTCCGGATGTACCGAGCTCGCAAGTCCCTTCACCGTTCACTCAAGCACCGTCAACTGAAGTACCATTACCCGAAGCCCCCACTTCCCCGGCTCCATCCACCGACGCTCCCACAACTAAGTTACCAGCAACTCAAGCACCCCTAACCGACGTACCCATCACGCTATCACCACCCACACAGCAGGTCACACTAGCCCCAGTGTCGGAAGCACCAATAACCCAAGCTCCACCCACCCAAGCCCCGACAACTGGCCCATCATCACCTCCAAAACCAACTGCTGGACCAGTCACTTCAATTACACCAACGGAACTACCTGCTACGCAACCTCCCATCACAACGTCGACGTCCGTAACCAATGGTCCAGCTACATCTACGTTGCCCCCACCTTCTCCGTCGTCCTCCATCTCCTCTCCGCCGCCAGTCTCAACTGCATCTACGAGTAACTCTCCAATGACGAGCCAGTCGCCTCTCGTTCCCACGACTGCTAGCGTTACGCCGCTGACAAGTATCCCGCCTACTACAATGACATCCCCCTCGACTCAGTCCTTATCGAGCCCAACCCCTACCAGTGCTGCCACGACCGATGTACTAGCCACCATCCCACCCATCTCAACGTCCAGTCCATTGCTAAATAGTACACCCAGATCAACGGTAGAATCCGCATCATCTATCATTCCTCAACCTTGGTCGACTCCACCGTCACAAGCAAGCTCCAACTCCCCATTTCCGTCGTCCACGCTTTTATCAGCTACAATCTTGACCACGTCAACTCCACTTACGTCCAATCCGTCGCCGACATCAGCTACGTCCAATCCACCCACAACCTCACGGGTTGAATCGACGTCGATTCCCCAGGTCGACATCATCATGTCCAACGTTTCCGTTTCGTCGCCCGACGACTTGGCACCAAGTAAGGGTTCCCCCCTTTTCGTTCCATGAATCCTCATGTATAGCTATTGCCATCATATTAGATGCAACGTCCGCGGCGGTCGTCCTTGAGGACGGTGGCCCGGCTAGCCATATTCTCTCTCAGCTTCAATACCTGGCGTCCCAGTCGACTTCGTTTGTGGTGGGGACGGCGGTGGCCACGAGCCTCCTCACCGTCCTCACGGCAGCCACGTCCACCTCTGCCGCCGTCACCTCCACTTCGTCCTTCGTTGGCGCCGCCAGGTAGGTGCAAGGATGCTTGCAGGTCACCATGTTGATGACACTCATATTCGTTGTTCCAGCACTGCAGTGGTGGCCGCCGCCGCCACGTCGTCGTCGTCGGTGCTGTCGATGCCCCCGCCCGATTTGTTTTCGATGGGGCTACTGTTCGACTACCTCCAGTTTCTGGCATCCACGGGCCACATGGAGATGCCTGGCGCACCGCCCTTTTACCACGAATTTACCGATTCGTTGGCGTGGACGACGTTCAACCTTCCGCCTCCGTCTCGATCGGCCATCCCCCATCGAGGCATCCACCTCGAAGACGGAGACATCGTCGCAGGCGTCCTCGCGTACGCCGAACGTCTGCACATTGCACCCGATACGCTGTTCCTGACGACCGCCACGGGCCTCGCGTGCGTTGTCGTGGGAGTTGTCGTGCTGGTCAGTGTCGCATATGGGCTAGTCAGTGCCTGTGCGGCTCAAAAGTAAGCTACTATGTACTAGTATGTATTGTGCTTTCGAGTGAACTGTCGTGTTGTGGCTTTGGAATTTAAATCGATTTGATTGGCTACCTCAGATGAGCTCAAAATTATTAGCCAATCAAAACCTTCTCAATGAAATTTAACCAATCAGATCGATTATGGATCGGTTTGGTCGGCGCGATTCGATTGCACCCCCTGTATCAAATCGACAATATGTATCGAGTTCACCTTTTGACTTGGGATTTTACGTGTAACTAACTGTATCGCATCTATTTCGTTCGTTTTGACTTGGAATATCTGTAGATTCGACCTGGTCAAGCGCCAGTTGGCAGCGGAACTACCCACGTCACATCTCTTCCTTCGATGTGTGGTGCAAAGTGCCTTGGGGGTAGCGCTGCTGTCCGAGTACGCGCTGAGCATGACATCGAGTTTTCAGCTTCGGTACGGCGGCAGTTCTGCAACAACTTCGTCTGCGACAGGGTCTCTCTACGGAGCAACAGCGTCGCTGTGTCTGGTGTGCGGTGGCTTGCTGGTGCTGGGAGTGTGCCTCTTGCGGGGAAAGTCTGAAGCTCAAACGAACGACCCGACGTTCAAGTTCACGTTTGGCGCGTACTACAAGTACTACACGTTTGAGAACCGGTACTTCTTTGTGGCGAAAATGGGCGCAGAAATCGCTAGCGGCGTCATCGTCGGCCGCGTCGAAGACGTTCCGACGCAGCTGACGTTGCTCTTGACGTTGCAGTTTTCCATGTTCCTGTACACGACACATTGCAGTCCGTACGTGCTCGAGTTCCAAAGCATTGCCGCGGCCACGGCGTTCGTCCTCAAGATGGTAAGAACATTGTCGCGGATGGGGTAGCTGCTGGTTCGTGGAGCTGACTGATGATGTGCATGTATGTGCACAGGTGACGTATGTGCTGCTGTCGTCGTTCGTGACGACGTCCGTGAGCCAAGACGTGCAGGAAGTGGCTGGAACGGTGTCCCTCGTGCTTCAGATTGCCCTCTTGCTGCTCTTCAACTCCAGGCAGTTGCATATTTTGTACAAACAGATCAAGTGTCTGGTGATTCGACGACGACGACGGAAGCTGGTGGTCAAGACCAAAGCCGCGGAAGCAGCGATGCTGGCCGCAGAGTTGGAGCGACACAGCAGCCTTGGGCTTAGTCAATGGTCACTAGACGAAAGATATAGGCCTGCTGCCTAAGGAAAGGCGTGGATCATACATAGCATAAGATCTCACCCGCCATCAGGAGACGGCTTTCCATGTAGTGTTGGTAGACATAGTGCATGTACGTCAAGAGGATGAAGCCACTGTCAACCTTCCATCTCAGATGGCATGCGAGATGATCATGAGATCCATTTCTCCAAATTGATTGTACGATATTTCTCGATTCTGCCATTGCATACAGTTCCAAAGATAGAATAAAATGTTGATATTTAATTAAGTTGGTGGTGATTGGCTCTAGCGCAGTTGCCAATTTGATCCAAACCATGTTTTTGCGGCAATTGGGGCGGTCCAAGGCAATCGCGGCGGCGTCTCTGGGCCTCGCCTGCGGGATGGCGGCCTCGTCTCCTGCGTCGTACAGCAAGGATTCGTTGACGACGAAGAGATGGCACTTCTACAAGGGAAAGATGCATCCCAACATCGGCAACACCGTCAAGCTGTTCAAATGCGACGACACACCCATCGCCGACGAGATCGCAGAGTACCTCGGGATCAAGCTCAGCGACATGTCAGTCTCTCGCTTCGCTGACGGGGAAACGTCCATTCAAGTGAACGAGAATGTGCGCGGGCAACGCGTTTACATCGTGTCCTCGACGATCACAGTCGATCGCATCATGGAGCTTCTCCTGAGCATTGCTGCAATGCGCCGCGCGTCGGCCAAGACGATTGTCGCCGTCATTCCATTCTACGGGTACGCGCGACAGGACATGGTGTCCAAGGGCCGCGGTCCCATCTCTGCCGCCGATCTCGCGCGCATGCTCGAAGAAATGGGGGTCGACCACGTCGTGACTGTTGATTTGCACAGCTCCCAGATCGAAGGGTTTTTCAAACCCGAAGTTCCCGTGGACAACCTGAACGCCGCGCCTGTCGGGTCGGTCTTCTTCAGCGAACAGAACATCAAGCATCCGTGCGTGGTGGCGCCGCACGCGTCGGCGGTGCGCCGGTCGCTTCTCTTCCGCGACACGTTGCAGCGCACGTATGATACCCGTACGTCGATCTCAAAATGGCATGTTGAAGTAGGGAGTGAATTTGCATATTTTTTACTCGTGTCTTGTTCCAGCATTGCCCATGGCGATTGTGGTGAAGAAGCACATATTGGATCGATCGACTCCGGGTGAATTGGTCGGTGATGTGGAAGGAAAGGACTGCATTGTCGTGGACAACCTCGTGGACACGGGTACGTCGTGGTGCCGTATGATGATGCGCGATGGACGTGATGATCTTGTTGCTCTAGGATCGACGATGATTGAGGTGGCCAAGCTGCTGAAGAGCCATGGGGCCGCGACCGTGAGCGCGTTCTGCGTCCACGGCCGCTTCTCTTCGAATGTACGTACATCATGCACACGTCGATGAGTCGGTGGTTGCAGCATGTGACAGAGATGGAGGAACCCCGTCATATGAGTTCCTGTAGGCGATAGACGCGTTGAACGAGTGCAAGGAGCTCGACTTGATTGTGACCACCGATACCATCCCATGCCCTTCGAATGTGGAAGCGCAGAAGACGTCCAAGATCGTCACGCTTAGCGTCGCCCCTTTCCTCGCCGAAGCCATCTCGTGCATTCACGCCAAGGGCTCGATGTCCCAAAAATTTGCACTGTCCGCGTCGTAGTTGTAAATTGGCCAATCCAACAAGGGTTTAGTTTTGATTCGTTGAATATTGTTGTTTTCAGCCAATCCATGGCTTCAATAAGTCGGCATTGACGTTTGATTCGTCAAAATTCGCTGTTTGCTCACTTTCTTGTCGGTTTCGATTTATATCCAATCCGCAATGCTTAAAGCCATTGAAGTCGTTTGATTGGCCGCATTTTATGCAATCACAATATGCCGCCTCACTTTGCAAAGATGGCGGTCGCGGCAGCTGAGCTGAGTGTGCACGTGAGGGGTATCGCGGAGAAGCTTCGGAAGCGAGCCGACGATGCATCCAAGAAGGGAGGTGCGGAAGCATCTGCGGGCCTCTTATTATCCGTGGAGCATTTGCTTCAATCGGCAGACTTGATGGAGCGGCAGCACAAGGAACTGCTGGCGACATCGGCGGCGGAACCAGCCTCGACCACACTGCGTAATCTCCAACTCGTGGGTGCGATGCTTGAAAAGAAGAGCGAGGAGATGAGGAGCAAGCAAGCTGTGGGGCCTGCAAATTCGTTGGCGCAGTCGGCGAGTCATGTTCGCACGGGGCTCCAGCGCTTGGAAGCAGTGCACACGTGGCTGTCGTCCACGTTAGGCGACGCATATTCACCCGACATGGACTGGACAGATGCCCTTTCTCAAGTGTCCTCGAATGATCGAACAAGCCACGGCGACGAAAGTGCATTGAAGGCGGCCGAAGCGAACGTTGCATCGTTGGAAGCCGAGTTGGCTCAATGGAAACACCACCACGAGGCCACCCAAGCCCAGCAAATGCAACTTCTAGAGCAACTGGAACGAGCGGAATCGGACTTGTCCGCAGCTCTGAAAAGCCAGCGTGATATTGCAGCAACGAATGAAGTCATTCGAGTGGACTTGGCGTCGGAACGAGAACGCAACGAGCGGCTCGAGGCTCACGTGGCCGCGTTGAAGAGTGAAAATGCTAAGGCCGAGCAAGAGATGCAGGACGAGTGGGAGCGAGTTGTCAAGCAAAACCAAGTGCTGACGGCCACAGTGAAGGAGTTCAAAGCGAACGTAGCCGGGCGGGAGGAATGTGTGGATGCTTTGCAGAAAGAAGGCCAAGAAGTTCGCAACCAATTACGTGAAATGGAGCTTGAGCTAGAGGCTAAAACTGTCCAAGTGGAGCAACTTGCAGTACAACTGGACGCTGTGCGAGAGAAATTGACAACAGCTGAGCAAACGATTGCAACGTTCCGCGACAAAGGAGCCACGATCACAGCGTCGGAGGAGGAGGCTGCTGCATCCACGATCCATCGACTGGAGGGCGAATTGGCGGCTGCCACCAGTCGGCATCAAGCGGCATTGGATTCCCACCAGGAAGAATGGACGGCTGCAGAGGCACAGCGTCTAGCCACCATCCATTCCCTCCAAGACGAGCTCGAGACTGTCCGTGGCCTCTTGTCAACTACCACTGATGCCAATACCGATGTGGTTGAGCGCTTGAACGGGGAAGTGGAAGATTTGCGACAGCAACTTGCAACTGCAAGTTCCGATTTGAACGGATCCAAGGCGGCGCAGCAGATCGAGTTGTTGGAGCGCGAACTTGAGGTGCTTCAAGACCAAGTGCGTGCGTTGGAAGCCACCAGTGATGGTGCGAAGAACGTCATCGAGACATTGGAAGTGCAACTGTCGTCTGTACGAGACCAATGGACGGCTGCCCAACTGGCCGTCGAGACCTTGACAAGTCAACTGGTGGCAGCCAAAGCGCTTGCGGAGACCAGACAAGACACGATCGACGCCCTCGAGGACGAACTGGTGGTCGTCCGGCGGCAGGCGACGGAGGCGGTGGAGACGGCTAGGTCGTGGGAGGACGAGCTGGTGGCTGTGCGCGACGGCATCTCGAGGCTGGAGGCGCAGCTGGCGATGCCCCCGCCCGACATTATCGACGAGCTCGCCGATCGGGGCAGCACGGGGGGAGGTGTCGAGAGTGTGAGCAGTGTGGGGGACAAACTGACCCAACTCGCCACAGCCATCCGTTTGCTGCACGAAGAAAAGGGTTTGTTTCAGTCGGAAATTGAACGATTACAAGCGACTGTAGCCGACGAGCAGGCCACCGTGCACTTGCATCACGAACAAGTGCGCGCACTCGAGGTGCACGTGGACAAAACGCATCAAATGCACCAGGAAATGCGCACCACCCACGAAGAAGCGAGCATGGCCATGCAAGAACACGCAGCAAAGCTCAAGGACGAACTCGGTGGGTTGCGCACCGAAAACGCGCGATGGGCCGACCGCACGCAAGCGCTGGAACTTGAAGTTCTCCAACTCACCCAGGCCGTGGCGGACTTGTCGAACGCAGTGCCGAATGAACTCGCCACTGAAACTGAAACCAACTTGGTGGAGTTGACCAACCAAATCCACTCATTGGAGTTGTTCAAGCAAGAGTTGCTGGAGAAGTTGGCGACAGCAACGGCCACGGCCACGGCGCTTGAAACCGAGGTCGAACAGGCCAAGCAGAACGTGGCAGAGTTGCTCAAGAACGTCGTCGAGCTGACAGGGGAAAAGGCGCAAGTGGTGGAGCAACTCAACGCCCACAAGCTGGCAATGGAAGCGTTTGACGCGGAAAAGTTTGAGCTCCACGCGCAGCATAAAGGGATGGAAGACCAATTTGTCAAGTCGGTCACGGACCTCGAGAATCAAGTGGCCGCCAAGGACGCCGAGTTGCTGGCATTGCAAGAACAGTCTGAAACGTTGCTAGCACAGGAACAGTCAAAGGCGGCGGCCTTGCAGACTGCAGAAGTTGAAGTGGCCAAAGAGGCACTGATCTCAGCCGAAGGAATGCTTCGAGAGCTACAAGCAACGCATTCATCCATGGTGAACGACTTCCAGCAACGCCAAGCTCAATTGGAGCAACTGCACAGTCAAGAAATCGCGACATATTCCAACCAGTCGGACGAGCTAGCGTCGCACGTAAGACAACTGGAGACTCAATTGGCCGGTCTAAAAGAGGCTGATGAGTCGCAGACAGCCCAGTGGGAGTCGCAAGTGGCATGGCTGGAGCAACAACTGGCGGCCGTTCGCGATGAACTCGCTCAAGCGCAACAGGTCAAGGCCGAGTTGCTGGGCAAGCAAAACGAATTGGAGGTGCAAACCGCCGAGAAAATCCAATCGTTCGTCGACAAGATCAACGACTTGGTCGCGGAAAAGGCAACGTTGCAGGCAAGTGCAAGTGCCAGCGACCAACAATGGCAACGCCAGATCGACGCGCTCGAACTTCAAGTGCACACGCTCACGGATGAAACCCAACGGCTTGCGGACGACCACCGCCGTCACGTGGTGCAGTTGCAGCACGAAACCAAGGACAAAGCAGTGTGTGTGACAGAGGACAAGGCGTGTGCGACAGAGTGCGAGTTGGACGACGCCAAGGCCAAAACGGAAGACCTGACAAACCGAATCAAACACCTGGAAGACGAAATCGAGCGACATTTGAAGGTGCAAGAGGGGCATGCCGACGCCTTGGTCGATTTGACTGCCAGGTTGAACGCAGCCCATGACGTGGCAGTTCGAGAGCTCGAGGCCGAGTGGACCAATCAGCATGCTGCAAAGATCCAGCGGTTGATGGAAAAAGTCAACGCGTTGACGGAGGACAAGCACCACCTTCAGACCGAGCACGAAGTGCTGACGGGTCAGTTGGCAGCGTTGGGATCTGACAAGGCCCGATTGACCCAAGACATAACTCAGCTCCGCACGGCACTTGACGAACAAAGTGCCCAAGTGCAGACGTTGGCTGGTCAAGTGGAAGATGTACGGGCTGACAAGGCAGAGGCACTTGCTGACGTAGCCACGTGGCAGGGGAAGGTGGACGCTTTGCAAGAGACCCACAATGCCGAAGTTGCCAAGTGGAAGCAAACGATCGAAGCTCTGGAAGCTAGGGAGGCCGCGCATGCTTCGTCGGGTAACGAGCAACAAGCTACGATTGGCCAGGAACGAGACCAGGCATTGGTGCGTCCACGTTACCATATATTTGACTTGATTGGTCTATGAAATGTGTGTGATGGATATGTATATGATTGGCAGGTTCGATTGAACCAAGTGCAAAGTGCATTTGAAGAGTACAAGGCACGCGCGGCGGCAGCGTTAAAAAAGGCTGAGAAGCGCACGGCGTTGCTGAATCCTATGCTGGCGGAGAAGCAGCTACTGGAAAGTCAAGTAGCAACGCTGCAAGACGCTGCTCACCACGCCCAAGAAAAGCTGGAAAACCAACTGCTGGCCAAGGAAGAAACTATCTCCCGTACGATACACATATACAACTATTGTCGTTTTACCCAAAATTTGGCTGACTTTTGTGCGAATTCGTTGCCAAACCTATCGATCAATAACTTTGTTCTGACTATCCAGTGTCACACTAATTTCAGTCACACACTAATTATATGTTGAAAGTGTATTTAATTGGCCACTTGGTTAGTGTTGTGGATTTGGATTGGTCGATATAGTATATCGATTGTCTGCCGATCGATGCTGCTCATTCGATTGAGCACCCCACTCCAGTTTATTCACAATACCTTACAACATCCACATGATCATGACCATGGCACGGAATGAGCAGGTTTGACAGCGGCCATCGAGGACGCTGCCGCCAAAGTCCAAGAGAAGAGTGCGTACCAAGAGGAGCTACAAGCCAAGCAGACGCTCGAGTGGCAGGCTCATTTGACGCACATCCAAGCGATGGAAGCGTCGATGGTGGAGAAGGAGGGACTTCTAGCTGCATCAGCTTCCAAACTGGACCAGTTCCAGCTCGAACTGACTGCACTCCATGAAACAGTTGAGCTCAAGGCGAAGCTTGTGGCCAAGGTCCAGCTCGAACTAGAATCGGTGGAAGCTGCAAAGGAGCTCCTTCAGACACAACTGGACGACGCGCACAAGAGACTGGAGAGCCTCCTTGGTAAACCATCGCAACTCGAGCAACTTGGTCGGACGTTGGAAGCCACGACGGCGGAATTGGAAGCTCAACGACACACAAGTGCCGAGTTGGAGCAAACACTTGGTCACTTGACCAACGAGATGAAAACGACGGCGGAAGCTAGCGCCAACCAACTGGCGGCTGTCAAGGCGGAGCTGGCGGAGTTGGCAGCCTCAAAACGCGAACTGGAAGCAAAGGTCGTCTCGGACAAGTCGTCCGATGCCAGCAACGTTGACGCTCAAGTTGCTGCGCTTCAAAGCCGAATTGGGCAGTTGGAAGCGGACAAGGCGGCGCTGGACGAGTCGTGGCGGGTCAAGATGGCGGACGGAGAGCGCCTCCAGCACGATTTAGTGGTGCAAATCACGGCAGAAAAAGCTGCCCTGGCTGCGTCGCTCGAAGCGGCAAACACTGAACTAAAGCGATCGGACACTGGAGCCGACCAAGTGCGGGAGTTGCAACGCCTTGTACAGCAAAAGGACGCGGCAGTTGCCGAGCTATCGAGGCGCCTCGAAGTGGAACAGGCCAACGAAAAGATGGCGTTCGAAGCCACGAAACTGCTCAAGTCCCAACTGGATGAAAAGGACAGCTACGTGCAGTTGGTCAAGCAGAACGCCGAGTTGCAACTCCGTCAAGCGGGCTTGGATGCCGACCGCAAACTTGCCGAGCAACGCCGCGCCCAGCTGCTCGAACACGAAGCAGCCATTGCGGCCATGAAAGCATCTCTACTCCCCCCAAACTCTGAATCCAATGTGACTAGTGCCATTCATGACGAGAACTGCACCACCACCAATAATCTACGAGTCCGTGAAGTGGACTTTCAAGCGAAAGTGGATGCGTTGACCGAGGACAACGAGTCGCTTCGTCGCCAACTGTCCACGGCAGTAGCTAACAACTACCCCGAGCAACTTCAAAAACTACAGCAAGACAACGCCGACCTGGTGCAGTCCATGCACAGTCTGCGGGAAACCCTCAACGAAAAGCTGCAGCAACTGGCGACTTTGAAAGCGCCGGCGCACACGAAAATGCTCGACGAGTTGGAGCGCACAATCGACCACGAGAAGCGCGCGCTGTTTGAGCGGAAAGAACGTCACGGCCATCACATGTCCAAACTCCGACGCGATGCCGACGCGTGGCTCGACGAGGCGCAGCGCAAGCTGGACCAACACGCGGCGCTCCACGAGATGCTGCCAAAGGAGGACGTCGTGATGATGATGGAGGCGCAGGACGTGGTCGTGAATCCGCTCGAGGTAACTCTGGTGCTCAAGTCTGGCGTGAGCATCAAAGCCGGCAGCTCGTTTGAACTGCCCGTGGTGGTTTCCGCCGGCCAGACGATCCAGTGGAGCTTCCGCATCGAAGAGCTCGAGACAGACGTGAATTTCGCGCTCACGTTCAACGGAGATGTGGATGTGGTCCCAGTTGACCGTGTCGAGAGACTCGAAGGCACGTACCAAGCCAAGGCGGACGGCGTGCTCCAGTTTGCTTGGGATAATGCGTTTTCGTGGCTAAACCCGAAGACACTGGACTACCACGTGTCGGTGTTTGAGCCGCTCACGGAAGCCGCGCTGCAGACGCGGTACGTCTAGCTTGTATTACGATATGGAAGTAGAACAAGAGACCTTAGATGAAACTCGGGACTCTTTGGTGTAGAAAAGCCCAAGAAATTGTCAAGGGTCAACATAAAATGTGGAGTGACAAGTTGGATGTGATGGTAAGTGGGTATTTGTGGTGGTGGATGATATATATATGTGATGAATAATGCTGAGCTTGGTTAATAATTGGATGGATGGCAGCACAAAGAAGAAGCGTTGCTGGCATCGTTTGAACACGTGATGCAAACCAAGTTGCCTGGGGCGATTGAATTGTACTTGGAGGAGTGCATGGCCCATCGTGAGGTAGACATAGGTGGTTGATAAATGTGATTGTTTGCTCAAATATTTGGTGGATAGATGGTGGTATGCCCCAAGCTGAGCCAAGTGCAGGACAAAATGCACGCATTGAAAGCCCTCATTGGACTGTACGTCCAGGAACAGCAAGAGCTGACGGAAGCCACGGCGTCGCTTACGATGTTGCTGGAAGAAATCCACCAGGAGCAGCGGGATTTACACAATACGTGCCACTTGCACAAGTTGCGCGACGAAACCACAGAGTCGGTTCAAGCCAAGCTCCGTGCCCTGGAAGCCAAACTCGAAATTTAACGTTACAGTAGTACTACGGGCCTACGATAATCTATGTACCTCGATTTTTACCGTGTCTGTAAAACTCGCCAACACTGTTTACGCCGTCACAGTTTCTACCATAAGGTAGATCATACATGGAGCATGTTGGTGTCCCCACTTGTATTCTTTGGTCCCATGGAGAAGCGACGGGCGTCAGACGAGAGTATACGTCGGTACCGCAGCAGCAGCAGCGGCAGCAGTCTTGGAACTCCAGGCACGTCCAACCCCCAGCCCACTGGCCACTGCTTCGTGGCTCCGACAGGGGAACGTCATGGCTTGCGCAGTCTCGACCCAGACAAAGCATGTTTTGTCAGCCAAGCAGACGAAATCATCATCCTGTTCGAAGCCGTCCCCCCAACGCCCCTCCCTCCACCTGCACCCCCATCGTCGAGATCCCGCCGCCTCTTCCAAGCCGTCCAGCGCCGACTGTTGGCAGTTCCACATGTCCACACGCCTAGTTCAATCCATTCATGTGCGTCTTGCTTCGCTCCGACAATGGTTAGCCGTCCAACGAGCTCGTTTTTCGCCTCAAAAGTGTCCCCCCATCGATTGTGGCAATGCCAAACCTGCCCAGATTTGTTCGTCTGCGATGCGTGTTATATGCAAGGCGCCCACGGTTTCGAGAGCCAGGCGCCCGACTTGGCCGAAGCCAAACTCGACTTGCAGCTTGTCCAGTTGTGCAAAGCGTTCACGCTGCCTTTCTTGCGGCTCCTTCGTACGCGCATCTGCCACTCGACTGCCAACCCCCATCGACGCCTAGGTCGGTATGTGAACCTCGTCTATTGGTTTGGCCAAGTCGTTGGATCGACGCCGTTGGCTGAGATACCCCAGCGGGGCCTCGAGTTTACTGACCTGGATGTGGATGTGCGACAAGAGTTCGTTGAATTGCTGCGGCCACTCTTGGGCCAGCGGTCGGACTTGACCATGAACTTGGAATGGAATGATGGCTCGATTAAAGATCGAGGAAGTCTGCGGTTGTGGGTGACAGACACAAGTGAGACATCTTCACCATTTCAAGGCATCCTGCTGCAAGATGTGATCCTTCCGCGCGCGGTGGACGAGAAAACGTTGGCGCCAGCGAGTGCCACGTAGCATTTGCAACGGAACCGATTCGTAGACATTTGATACATGTGATATTAATACACATTTGACATGAAGTTTCAGAGGTTCAGGTGCCATGCTGCCATTGGGTGGCTGTGGCGGTGGATATCCGGAAAACAAATCGATTATCCGTACTTTACTTTGCGTTTGCCCCATATTGATTTTATTCCTTGGTGGTGATTACAACATGAGCTTGAATCCCGAAGCGTCGAAGCTGTTCCGTGTGCGTAAGACTGTCGTCAAGATGCTGCACAACCGAGGGTACATTGTGAGCGAAGAAGAGCTCCATCGGACCCCGGAAGGATTCATTGGGCAGTTCGGGGAGAACCCGACCCGAGACACGATGACGATTCTGGTCGAGAAGGTCGACGACCCGTCCGACAACTTGTTTGTGTTTTACCCTGAAGACGCCAAGGTGGGGGTGAAGCCCATCCGTAACTACTGCAACCGCATGAAGGACGAGAACGTGACCAAGGCCATCTTGATTGTCCAGGTAAGCTACATGACGCCCGCTGATGTGTTGCTCATGGAGGGTCTGATGTAGGATGGCATCACGCCGTTTGCCAAGCAAGCACTCAACGAAATGGCGCCTCGCTACAAGATCGACCATTTCAAGGAAAACGAGCTGCTGGTGGATATCACAGAACACACGCTCGTGCCGGTGCACAAGGTGCTGACAAAAGAGGAAAAGCTGGCGCTGCTCAAGCGGTACAAACTCAAAGATACCCAGCTGCCCCGCATGCAGGCCAGCGACCCCATCGCCCGCTACTACGGCATGTCCCGTGGCCAAGTGGTCAAGATCATCCGGCCTAGTGAGACGGCCGGGCGGTATGTCACGTACCGAGCCGTCATGTAACACGGGACGACGACGACGACTGGGATTGAATATGATATCGCCTATGTATTAACAGTAGACTTGCTTGGCAATTTTGCACGCACACGTACTCGCTTCAGACGCGACTAGTATTTCGGGACGGTAGGTAGCCAAGCTAAGTAAGGGGGTATTCCTGAACCTGTCAAACGTCGAGCGTTGGATAGGTTTCCACACTTTTACTCAAGTATTGGAACAAAGGACACGAGCTTATTACGATTCGATCTATATATCAAGGACACAGTTCACAGTTTTGCGTCGATTCGGGCGATGAGCGCGGCCATATTCACAGACATCGCGGCGAGTTTGGCCTCCAACCGAGCTTCCATCATGTCGAGGCGCTCGTTGAGCTCACTCACGTCCACGGAAGTAGGAGCAACTTCACCTTCTCCCACAAAATCTTCACCGTTGACGTCGTCATCGTTCAAATTGCTGTCGCGCAAGATGTGCATAATCTACAAATGCAAAAACAGACGAAACTCTACAACAGTGTCGCGTGTCCAACGTACGGCGAGGAAGGCGCGGGTCTTGCGCAGGACAATGTCGGCGTCGACGTCTGTTACACAAAGTTGCTTAGCAATCAACGCCGATGTCACGGCTGTGGATAAGCCAGTGTTGGCCGATTCGGCGAACGACCCAAGCTGCATCATGTGGGGGTGGTTCCAAGGCCACAGCATGGGTCCAGCGAGGCGCCGGAGTTCCGTGATGGCTGCCATGTATGGCGCGATCTTGGTCGCCGTGACGGTGCGGACGTGGTCGAACGCCGCCAAGACGATCGCGAGCAGCATGTTGAAGAGCACGAGAAAGAGGATGACCATGGCACACCAGTACCATGTGAACGCAATGTTGTAGTCGACGGCGAAGATGGCGGCGAGGTCAAACTGGCCAAAGAGCATGTTGACCACCGTGATGACGGACCGACTGATGGTGCTGAACTGGAGCAGTCGCTCGCCAAAGAGGAGGCACCCGGACGTGACGAACGCCGTCAAACAGATGACGAAGATGCAGCAGAACGGCACGAGTGAGTGCAACGACGCGGTCAATGTGGCGGTGACCATGTTCAAATGCGGGTGAAAGCGCAACGAACTGAGCGTTCTACAACAAGTCGCTCAGGAAGTTTTGGACGAGAGTCTATACCGAAACATGAGCAGGCCCAACGACACCATGCCTGCGATCCGCACGCTGAGCGTGAGGTACCCCATGGCTTTCAGACGCGTCATAATGTCCACGAGCAGCAGTTGAGGCTGCGAGGACGACGCGCCCGTTTCCAGGGCGGTGAGGTCGGCCGCGAACGTCGGACTGTACACCGACATACACAGTGCCGTCCATATGGCGAAGTAGACTGCGACGGACACGACAGACAGCCACGTCACGGCGCGCCACAACGTGCAAAAGCGGGGTTTGGGGGGTTGGCCAGTGCGTTGGCGATGGCCACGACACCACTCGCGCAGTTCCATCCATATGGTCGTGATCCAGAGAACGAGCACGCACGCGTCCAGCGGTGCCGCAAGGTACGACGTCCCGTACGGATCTAAGCAAGTCAGTGGCCAAAGGAGACACATGACAGTCGCATTTACCCGATGGCATGCACTTGGTTTGATAGATCGGCTGGAGGAACCCGCCAGGTTGGAACGTCACGCGGAGGGAAATGAGACACAGCAGGTTGAGTTCGCCATTGAACGTGGCCAAGTTGATGTGCAAATTGGCCGTGGAGGCATCGAGCCACGCGCCAGATGCTTGTTTGGCTGAGATGACGGCGGTGGCGGTTTCCGGATCGGCGCCCGCGTCGATGTAGAAGGTCGAGTTTAGGACGGGGGAGTCAAAGTCGTGGCATTGGGCGTACATGGCGCCAAGGGGTCCGTCGACGACATCACAGGGGCGGGGGGGCGCCGAATACGTCTTGAATTCAACGGCACCGAGAATCCGGTGCACGTAGTTGACCCTCCGGAGGTCGGGGGTCGAGAGGTTCCGGCCGTTGTAGTCGGTTTTGACAAACGTATACGGGACGAACGTGTTAGTGAGCCACGGAAACACATCGTGATGGGTCGCCATGTTGCTGAACTTGGTGGTCGTGACAGTCGTGACGGCATCCTACAGATGGAGGGTGGATAGACATGTGACCAGGGTGATCGATCAACATACTGTGCCGGACTTGGCCACGATGTTGGCGAGCCCATTTTCGGACGGAAACATGGCCTGGATAGGCGTGTGGTCGAGCGCACAGGCGGCAAACACGAGGAAGAAGAACATGTTGAACAGTGGCGAGAGGAAGATCATGACGAAGTCCCCCCTCGACGCGTACGCCAAGCGGACGTCGTCGATGGTCAACTCCGCCGTGCCCATCTCGATCACGACGCAGTCTAGCTGGCCTGACGATGTTGCCGGTGACTGGACTCGTTCTGACTGCAAGGGGTTCGTGGTGACCTCGGCTCGAGCAGTGTTGATGGTGGTGCTGCGGCGAATGACTGCGCCCGGATCAAGGTCCAAATGGGGACGACTTCCTCTGGTGTCGACATCCACGTTGTATCGGCTGCCTCTACTGTTGGTGGCAGCCACCGTTCCAAACATGGCTCGCATCACGAGCCCAATGTAGTACGGTGGAAACTTCAGAGTTTTTTTCGATTGCGCGTCAACTATGTTTACCACGGTTGCTCTAAATATAACGGGGCGGTTTTAAATTGGGAACGTCGTCCATTGTTAAACTGGTGAGTCCAATCGGGTAACAAGAGCGGCGATTTGAGCTTGCATGGCCACGAGCTGGTTGGACAAGTCTGTAGTCGATGGATCGTCTGCGTCGTCGTCATCACCATGAGACTCTCGCAGGACATCCATGACCTAACGTTACACGTAATTGTCATAAACACAAACTCTTGGTTGGAGGACATGTGATGTTCAAGTTGACGTACTCGCTTGAACGCGCGTACTTTGGCTAACAGTAGCGTCGCCTGGTCATCGGACAAGGCCAAGTGCTTGGCTATGGCTGCCACCGACACGTCGCGCAATTCGTCGGCGTGCACCGCGCGCCCCAGACGTATCATGTCACGGCGACTCCACGGCCACAGCCACAGGCCTTCGACGCGCGCGAGCTCGGAGATGGCCGCCATGTACGGCGCTGTTCTCTTGTCGCTGCTGTTGTGAACCTTTTGGAACGACTCGATCACAATAGCCAGCAGCATGTTGAACAGCACGAGGGAGAGCACAACCATGGCGCTCCAGTACCACACGACCGCCGTGTAGTAGTTGACGTCGAGAACCATGTCTGGATTGAACTGGCCAAACAGCATGTTCACGACCGTGACATATGACATGCCGATGGTGCTGAAGGCTTTGGTGCTGTCCCCGAAGAGGAGGCAGCCAGACATGACAAACGCTGACAAGCACACGACAAAGACAAAGAAAAATGGGGCGAGCGACCGCAGCGACTTGGTCAAGGTGGCCATAACCACATTCAAGCCCGGATGGAACCGCAGCGACCCGAGGATGCTACCGACACAGGAATAGTACGAAGAACAACACGGTGTGGGTTTAGTTGTACCGAAACATGAGCAAGCACATAGCGGCCATGGCGCTGAGCCGTAGGATGATCATGATGGTGCCCATGGTCTTCATGCGATCCATGATGTCGATAAAGTACACTATGGCCAACGCAGTGTTATGTTCGAAGTCGAACGCGGGGTTTTCCATGGCAATGATCTCGTTTTTCAGTTGCGCCTGGGCGACCAAGACGCTCAAGATGATCCAAAACACATAGAATGTCAGCACAGACGCCAACGACATCCACGTGACCGTGCGCCATTTCGTCCACACGACAGCCTTTTTTTGCTTGCGGTGGCGCGCAATCTTGCGGTAGTCCATGCCGACCGTCGTCAAGAAGAACATACCCGTGATCAAGTCCATGAGTCCGCCGCTCGGGTCGTTCCCATACGGATCTACAAGTCACTTCCCTGTCCATGGTTCCAGATGTGGGTTGTACATAGGTACCTAATGGCATGGAGGTCATCTTCGACCGCGTGTCGACATACCCCCCCGGCTGGAACTTGATTTGCAACGCCGTGATGCAAAGCAGGTTGAGCTCGCCGTTGTACGTGGCCACGTTGATGTGCAGTGCCGTATTAGCGTCGCTGACCAAGGTGTGGTTGGCTTTGACCTCTTGGAACCAGTCGATGATTTCTTGGGCGGGGGACTTGGGGTTCAAGTACCAAGGCGTTTCCTGCTCGGCGTTGGCCCAATCGTGGCAGGACTTGTATATGGGCGAGAGGGACGCCGAGACGTCGCAGGGGATCTTGGGGGCGACGTACGCTTTGATTTCCACGGCCCCCACGACCTTTTGGAACGCCGCAATCCGGCCGACTTGGTCCACTGGAATCGACACATTGTTGTAATCTGTGGTTACAAACACGCTCGGCACGAATGTATCGATGAGCCACGGAAACACGTCAGCTTGGGACTGAATGTTCTTGAACTTCATCTTGGAGTCGGCCGTCAACGTGTCCTACATGACACCAACCGTTTAAGATATCAAGCAGAATGGGTACTGTCTACGTACAGAACCCGACGTGACGAGGGCCGCCATGAGGCCGTTTTGAGACGGAAACATGGTCTCAATCGGCACATGCGTCAGCGCCGCCGACGCAAAGAACGTAAAAAACATCACGTAAACCAACGGAGTGAGGAACACGGACTGGAATTCCCCTCGACTTTCGTACGCCTCGACCACGTCCTTGACGGTGAGAATGTCATACGTGGATAAGGAGCGACGAAGCATCGACGGACGGGGAAGCGTCATGGTAAATCAATCAATCGACAAGCACCCTGGTTACAGATGCACAATGCACAGTCATAGGGCTGCGAAAGTTTGACTTCTATTATTAGCCCGCTTAAGCCATCATAATCTATTCGCGGCCTTCGACAAGTTAAACTTGAGTGTCTAGTCGAGCCACCATGGTGGCAATGCGGACTTCCATCTCCCCGAGCTGGTGATTCACGCGGTCGACGTCCGTCTCGTCGCCTGTCGCGTCCCCATGCGTGTTGTTGGGTTGTCGTAGAATGTCCATAATCTACATTTATACGCACGTACGTAACGACGACTAATATCCATCACCGAAAGGTACCTTTGTAAAGGCGATTGCCTTGGCCAGTACTTTCTGAGCCTGGCCGAGTGGCAAATTCAACAGCTTGGCAATAGCGGGCGCCGTGGCCTCGTGCAGATGCTTACGTTTGACAGCACGACCCAATGCTATCATGTCGTTGTGAGCCCAAGGCCATAGCCACGGGCCTTCCACTCGCTGCAAGTTTGCAATGGCGTTGATGTACGGCGCCGACTGGGCCTCGGCTTGCTTGTGCTCCCGGTAGAACGCTTCCAGTACCACCGCAAGGAGGAGGTTGAACAGCACGAGGAAGAGCACGACCATGGCACTCCAGTACCACACGACGGCAAAGTAATAGTTGACGTCAAAGATCTGGGCGAGGTCGAATTGGCCAAAGAGCATGTTGACGACTGTCACGTACGCCATACTGGCCGTGCTAAAATGCTTGACATTGTCGCCAAACAAAAGGCACCCTGACACGACGAATGCTGACAAACACACGGCAAACACAAAGCAGAACGGCAGCAGTTCCTGCAGGGACTTGACCAACGTCGCAGTGACTACATTCAATCGCGGGTGGAACCTCAATGACCCGAGGATTCTAGTTGACCAACCTAGTGTCAGATATACAACAAGCGGTAGTAGGGGTTACGGCACCGTAGCATTAGCAAACAACACGCTGCCATGGCTTCCAAACGAAGTGCAATCATGGCATACCCCATGGTCGTGACCGTGGATACGATGTCGGCCACATATGTTTCGACAAGTGACGCGTTCGCGTCAACGTCTAGCGTTGGGTCGTCCAATGCAATGATCTTTGTTTGGAGGGTCGAATCGTAAACCAACCAGCACAACACCCCCCAACACACGTAAAACGTTGCGACGGCCACGAGCAGCAGCCACGTCACGATACTCCATGGCGACCAGAATCGGCGCAGGCGCTGCTTGCGCACTTGCCGGAACTTGCGAAACTCTGTCACCAACGTTACCAAAACGAACAGAAGTACAAGCGCATCGGTGCCAATGCCAGCGTGCTCGTCTCCGTATGGATCTAACACATGGATTCATATTCCATTTATGTCCAGACGAAGAGCTTTTCTCGTTGTACCAAGTGGAATCGACGTGAGTTTGTACTTGGTGTCGACAAACCCGCCGGCTTGAAAGTTGATACGCAGCGACATGATACAAAGCAAGTCCAATTCGCCGTTGTATGTGGGAATGGTAATATGAAGCGACGTCGTGGACGGAGTGATGAGGCTTCCGTTGGCTTGGACAGTCGACAGCCAGTCGAGAATGTCGTCGCGAGAGCTGTTGGGGGGAAGGTACCATGGCTCTTCAATGGGGGCAGACAAAAAGTCGTGGCACGGGCTGTAGATGCGTGTGAGCTTGTTGTAGCTGCTGCAAGCCACTGGAGGAGCCGAAAATACGCGAAGTTCAATGGCCCCAACGATCTTTTGGTACGTGGCAACACGAGAGCGAAGTGTCGACGGAACGACAGCCAGGGATTTGGAATCTGTCGCGGTAAATATCGTGGTCAGAAACGTAGTCGCGAGCCACACGTAGGCATCGTCCGGCGTGTGGATGCTTTTAAACTTGATCGTCGTGTCGTCTTTCGTGTCCTGCGCATACATACGAGGAAAAGTAAAAAACGATTGGACCTGGCTGGCTGACAAGTACAGACGTCGTACCTCGCCGCCAATCGTCAAGATGGCCATCGCCAAGCCACGATGCGATGGAAACATGTCGTTGATGGGTACGTGGGTAAGAGCTGCTGAGGCAAATGCAGCAAAGAAGAAGGTAAAAAAGACTGGCGAAAGGAAGATCAGGACGAAGTCTCCTCGATTGTTGAACGCAGACTCGAGTTGGTCCAAGGTGATGATGCCGTCGACGTGACGCGTCCTTCCCGAGGTGCCGCTTTCGGGCTCGTTGTCATCAGGAATCACGTCCTCATCAACAGCTGCCGCCACATCCACGCTCGCGCTGGATCCATCCATAGGATCGACCAATATGACAGCGTCAATGTCACACGATTATCGTACGACCCCCCTCGTCGCGACCTTTCGGTAAGTGCATTTTTCGGATACTGATCGCAAGTTACATATTTCCGGATACTGGACATTTTTCCGCCATTGAAACAGGTACAGTACAGACGGGTACCAAATTCGGACCTTGCTAGCAGCATCATGACAGGCAACGAGGGAGGTGAAGCGACGACGGCGGAGGAGGTTCTATCGTACTGGTTTGATGGCGACATGCAAGAGCTGCACCGGACCAAGTGGTTCCCAGTGTCTGGGAGTGACGTTCAAGCTGCGACAGACGCCGACATCACGAGCAGATTTGGCACTCTGCTCGCGACGGCAGAAACACGAGCGTTGCATGCGTCCTGGACTAGTCGTCCACATTCGTTTGTGGCGTTGATCGTGTTGCTGGACCAGTTCTGCCGCCACGTCTACCGCCACGACGCAGACAAACGCAAGGCCATCGACGTCCTCGCCTTGGAACTCGCCACACAGTTTGTCGACGATGGGTTGCACTTGCACGTGTCGGTGCCTCACTTTGTGTTTGCCCTCATGCCATTCCGCCACTCCCCAACTCCAGACCGCCTCGAGCACGTCTTGGCGCACATCGACGGCCGCGAGGTACGATTGCCTTTGACATGACATCACGTGATGAGATCGTTATGTGGACAGACCACGATGCTGCACGACACGGACCTCCTCTCCAAGTTCCGACGCACGACGGTGCAGCGCCAGTCCCATCTTCGCGTCCCCAACCACCGGGAACCCGGCGAGGAGTTCGACATCCTCGAGCGCGCGGCATTCCTCCACCCGAACGAAGCGCTTCTCCTGCCCAAGCATCCGCTGGTGCCCATCATGCATGCGTTCCTGACGTCCATGCGCGCGGGTTCCGACGCGTGTCCCGCCATCGGCATCTCTCTCTCCGGCGGTGTGGATTCCATGGTCATCGCGTACTTGTTGGTCACGCTCGCGCCTCGCTACAACAACTTCAAGGTGAGTTTCACAATCAACATGCTTGCTTGACCAAAGCATCTTGGAATGCTATAGGTCGTGGCAGTGCACATTGACTATCTCAACCGACCCGAAAGCAGCGCCGAAGCCGCCTACGTCCGTGCATGGGCTCACGATCACAAGTACGCTGGCAGAGCATCCATCCCCTGACAATCTATCTCTCAACGTTGTAGCATCGAATGCATTGTGCGCCCTGTGGAAGAGTGCCAGCGAGCCACCACCAAGCGCGAAGACTACGAGAAACTCAGCCGTGATATTCGGTACACTACGTACCAGGACGTGATGGCTCGGTTTACCATCCCGGGCATGTGCGTGGGCCACCACCGAGGTGATGTTCAGGAAAACGTCATCTCCAACATGATGAAAGGGCAGAGTCTGCTGGGACTCAATGGCATGACTCCGTCGTCCATGGTCAATGGGGTATGTATATATATGCTGCTTGTATGAAATATATATATATATATTTTATCGATTTGGGGATAGGTTCGTATATGGAGACCGCTGTTAGCAGTCAACAAGGACGCGATCTTTGATTTTGCCCATACATTTGGCGTGCCATACTTTAAAGACACGACGCCCCAGTGGAGCACCCGTGGAAAACTAAGGCGACAGCTCATGCCGCTCTTGCAAAATATTTACGGCGACGGTAAATATATATATATTCTCCACAAAAAACATATATACTTATATCCACCGAATAACCCACTCAAATATACATATATCGCTAGGGTATCTGAACAACTTGTCCAACTTGGGTCAAGAAGCCACCGAATGCGCTGATGTACGTCCACCATGAAACCACCACCTTTTACAATTGAGTAGGTTTTGGAAACGGCCTTGTTAGGCCCAGTGCTGAACACAGTACAGAGCTCGGGGCTGGCCGTGTGGATCGATCTGACCCTTCTTTGTGCGCAGCCCATGTTTCTGTGGAAGGAAATTCTTCGCCGCGTGTGCCACGAACGCATGGTATGCGCAGCAGCAAGTTGCTCGAGTTCATATTGCAGTTGTAGGGCGAACGGATGATTCGTGACAAACCCATGGGCGAACTACGGGTCAAAGTGCTCAAGCCCAACTTCAAGGCGTCGTGGATTACCTTGAAAAAGCAAACGAAATCGTTTGTGACCACCCAAAAGCACCTCGTGCTGTTCCGGGAGCCAGTGTTTCAAACGGTATTTCCCCCCGACTTGTACTTTGTCGCAGAGACGACGCCGCTCTCGACGGTGGGACCGTGGCGCATTCAGCTGCGTCTGGTCGCGTCCCCGCACACGGACGCCCAAGTCCTCGAGGTTAGTTATATATATACTAGTATGGACTAGTCGCAAAGTGATCCATATGCAAACTAGATACAATCGAAAAGATGGGATTTGTGGGGGGTCATCCACGCGAGTGGGGTCACGTACGTGCTCCCCCATGCCCATCGGTACATTCTCGACACGGAGGACCGACCGGCGGCGCTGCGGGGCATCGACAAGTGCCTCACAGACGCCATGCCGCTGGTGAAGAATCACGGCGTGCTCCAAGACTCGACCCACGTTGTCGTTGTCACGTTAGAATATGTTTCGACGTCGGTTTGAATTTCTGCTAGATAACACACAAGATACGTCACAAGTGTATCGCGTTGGGAGGAACTCCCCCATTGTTGTAGAAGTAGTACAGTATACTATAATACTACTCCGGAATATTCCGTACTTCGCAGTAGTTCTATCGGTAGTGTACTTGTTATTGATATTACCTTCGAACGGAAATGATTGATACATTACCTATATAATCCGCGCCATAACCTATCTTGGCTGACGTAAGCACTTGTTTAAGCACGAAAAAGCCAAATCAATAATCGAACAACATTTCGGAACCGAGGGAGAAATAAATAACGATATATGAAACCGTGGCGAAACTGCCAGTCATGGCGATGACATCGTCCAAGGCACATGGAACTCTCGTGGGCATGGAGCTGTATGTGGAGAAGCTCTTGGACTCTGCTCGCCACCTGAACCAACAGCGCACGCACCCCGTGCGATCGTCGCTGGCCCTGTCCAAGTGGAAATGCCATCACGCATTGGGTAACATGAATCGGGAAAGGTACAACCTAGAAAGGTCATGGGCAATGTCAATATGTCAACATTCTAGCTACGACGACGAGACGAGCGAGGCTGGAGGTGGGGCACCAGTGCGACCTGTCGCGGCAGCCGACATGCGATTTCACTCAAAGCTCTTGTCCAAAGACAAGGAGGTGGACGATGATGATCCGTCCATTCGACAGCATTTGCAAAGGTCTTATCCATTGAATCCCATGCTGCGCTTGCTGATGTATGGAAACCTAACAGCATAAGTCCGTCTCAGATATTCCCAGCGATACACGGGATTAGAAGCTTACGGCAAGACGGGGATGTCCAAACTGCAGCAAATCATCGACACGGCCACGGCGGTGCAGCATGCGTGCCGGTCCGCCAACGACCTCGGCGTGACGATCGGCGTCGCCGTCTTGAGCTCCAGCGGTCGCGTGTACACGTCCTCGTCCAACGACTTGTGCTTGGACACGTGTCCCGAACGCCTGGCGTTTATGAAGCTCGCGTCGGACGAATGCGATTATGTCGTTGAGGTAAGCAAGGCATTGTTACGAGTAACTAACGTTAGTTTCCATCATGATAAGCGAGGATCCGTACAATCGAGTAGGGTGCCGCCATCAGTTCGTCGGACGGGGTGTTTACGCCGTACCCGTGCGGGTCGTGCCGGGAGTTTCTGAGTCAGTTTGGGGACTTTCCGTTGTACTTGATCCGAGCCACGATGGAGTTTGAACAAACGACAGCGTACGCCCTCTTTCCACGTGGCAGTCTCAGCGCACTCCCCGGTGCTACCAACAAGAATGACAGCAGTTCCAGTATATCCCTTCGAGTCAAGCACAATGAGACACTCCAGCCGCGCCATTTGCTGCATCCAAAGGACTGGGCCGTGGCGCACGCAGTGAATTGGCTCATCGAAGACGTAACAACTCTCAAATGTCTTGCATTCCCGACCTGGAAATGTACATGTAGGTGGGACTGCCGGAATACGCTGCTATATTCGAGTCCCACCAAGTGAACGGAGCCACGTTGTCGTACTTGGAGGAGTCGGACTTGCAGTTTTTGCTGCAGATTCAGCACCCGTTGCATCGACGACGCATTGCGCTGTGCTTGCATCGCCTTCGCGACCAAGGTAACTAACTTCTCGTAGTATCGTACAGGTCTGGTATTTTACTTGGTGGACAACAGATGGCATGCACGATGGGGTCGAGTATGGCCAGCTCAAAGACTACTTGGCCGTTCTAGACAAAGATCGCATCGAGGTAGAAAGAGCTATGTATGAACTCCCTCTTCTTGTCATGGTGGCCCATCTATGGTGACAGGTCGTCGTCAAGTTGAAGCAAGCATTTGATGCCGTCGACACCAACCACAACGGCATGCTCGACTTTTCCGAAATCAAGCAAGCATTGTCGGCCATGCAGTACGATGCGTCGGCGTCAGCAGTATGTGTAGTCGGCCTCGTCGTTTCGTGTTTAAAATGGTTCTGCAGGTCGAGGCGTGGATCCAATCTCGAAGCAGCCAAGCGTCCGTCTCATTTCCCGAGTTTGCCCTTGCCTTTTGCCACACGTGGACAGCCAACACGAGGTCGCTCCCAGTGCCGAAAGTGGACCTCGCGACTGTCCGAGGGGCCTTTGACCGGATGGACACAAACGGCAACGGGTCCCTGGATAAAGCTGAAGTCGCACAAGCGCTGGCTGCGCTCGGACAGCCGAATCCGGAGGACGAGGTAACCATACATCGATGTTATTGTAAAAACCATCAAGTGACCGTGTGATTCTGTGGCTAGGCGGCCAAATGGTTTGCCCAAGTCGATACCGACGGGTCCAATTCGCTGAGTTTTCCAGAATTCCTCGTCCGGTACGCCGAACTGCAGTGGAATCTGGCGCCACTCCACGCGTGTTTTGATGCGATGGCCGGCTCTGGGTCGCACGTCGTGGACGTGGCCGCCCTGCCCCAGCTGTTTCGGTCGCTGCAAGTGCTGTACGATCGGTCAAAATTGGACAAGTGGACCGACGCGCGACTGTCGTCTGAGATGTCGTTTGCCGACTTTTGCTTGGCGTATTTTCTATTCGTGCAAGCCCCGGCCCCCGTAAGAAGAATCATGGTAATTAGACAGTAAGGCTGATTTGTGTAGATGGACAGTGTCGAAGACCAGCACCGCCATCGCATCGTGCAGCTGCAGCAGTCGGGTCATGTTCGTCTGTGCACGAGACCTCCGTAAGTACCACATAAGATGACACATTTGATGTATAGGGATATTGTGCACAATATTGATGGCATACTGTACTTGGGTACTAGGTCACCGACCCGCCAGACACCGCAGCAGACGACAGTGTCGTCACCACCGAAACGACATCAGGGGCATCATCGAAAGGGCGACGGTGACGAAGGCAAGTGCCACGACAGCGACGATGACAATAGCAAGCACGACGACGACGACGAGGTCGATGATGTGATGCTGTCTAATGATTGGATGGTTCTGACGCCCGTTTGTAGTTTGCTGCAGTGCATGCCATGTTTCGCCGGTTCCACAGCTCCAGCTTGACGACGCTGGAAGCCATGCAAGCCATCACGGAATTGGGCGTGGTCGTCCCGCGAGCTCATGTACACGACCACACAAAATAGTCCAATTTCAATGAGGTCTCCACCTTAAAGTGGTGAAAACGTACTAGATGCTCGAGTACTTTACTTCTCGGGGGTTTGGCACCAAGAGAACCATTGACTACGATGACCTTGTTCGGGCATATCGCAAGCTCCAAGTGGTCAAAATGACCCCCCTACCCCGTCTCAAAAATGGTTGACTTTATCATATTCGTACAACTAAAAATGATAGTAGGGTCAACCCACGCAACGAGAATGCAGGCTATCAAGGTGTGTGTATGGCATAGAAACCTTCGTGAGATGTATTGATGTGGACACATTATCCTTCAGGCGCTATTGGAAGGACAGTTTGGGATTCCGTATACCCAACGAGACTTTTCCGCGTCCGAGTGCAAAGTCGAAGAAGACCCGAGCTCCCTCATGAGCCAGCGTGAATGGACGCAAGAGATGCAGACGTGGGTGTCCAAGCGGCGGCGACGACGACGACGGCAAGCCCCACGACATGACGAGAGCAAGGACGACGACGACGACGACGATGGTAGCAGCCGCAGCCCCTCTAAACCAGCGTATGCCCCAGAAACAACAGAAGCCCGAGTTGACGTCTTTTTTGTACTCGTAATAGCTACCCAGCCACGGTGGGCGGCAGGTTTCAAATAGGGGATCGTGTGGTGGACAAGACGCGAAGCATGGGTGCTGGCACAATCGTCCGACTGAGCGGTCCGTATCAAGTGTGCACTGTGCACTTCGATTCTGGCATCAAACGGCACAACGTGGCCATGGCGAGTCTGCGGCGGTTCAAACCAGCGCCGCTGGCTGCGTTTCGTGTGAAAGCGGAGCCATTTCAAGTGGACGCGTGTGTCCAGGTAGAGCTTCCCTGACCGTACACATCAACGAATAATACTCATAATTGGGACAACTAGGTGTTGTTCAAAGGCACTAATGCCATTCGACGCGGGCGAGTGAAACGAGTTCGAAGCAACGACGAATACGACGTCGTCTACAGCGACGGCGAAGTGGAAAAGCATGTGCCCGTGAAGCATATGAGTGTTTTATCAGGAGGAACAAAGCTCGAGGTGTGGCATGTCCAACGGCAATGTCAGCAAAATTAGCACATGACGTAGGCGTGGGAAGAGGGCATGCAGGTGGAAGCCAGGGGTAGCGACAGCCCCACGTATTACCGAGGCGAGATTGTGTTGTGTCGAACCAACGACACGTTTGACATCAAGTTCAGAAACGGCGCGGAAGAGGACAAGGTGCCGCGCAAGTGGATCCGAGTGTATTCTGGCAAGGACACAAGCAGCAAGTCGGACAAGAAGCCAACACACCACAAAGTATGTCAAAACATAATTGCGTTATTGGCTCAATGAAAGCAATGACTTCACTTTGTATGTTGATTGCCCAGAATTCCAAAGACAACGACGAGACTTATGCCGACGAAGGTGACTTTGAAAAAGACGACGGGAACAGCGAGACATTTGAAGTGCTGGACGTCGTGGAAGCCAAATTCGGAGGCAAGGGCGCGTATTTTCGAGGGCATGTGACCAAATGCCGAAGTGGCGGCACGTACGACATCCAGTACGACGACGGCGACGTCGAGAAAGACGTGGGCGCAACCCACATGCGATTCGTGTCGCTGGAGAATGTAAAACTTGCTCGTTTAGGAGGTGGAATGTCTGACACGATGTATTGTTGTGTACGTAGGTGGCCAAAGGTCAAGCTGTAGAAGCGAGGTTCGGAGGCAAAGAAGCCTTCTATCCAGGCACGATCAGCCGAGTGCATGGCGACGGGTCAGTGGACGTGGAGTACGCCGATGGAGATCGGGAAACCAGAGTGCCCAGTCGATATGTTCGCCTTACTTCATCTGGAACGAAGAAGAAAGCTAACCCTTCGGTACTTTTCTATCGAGTATTGAAGGAGTTTAATAGTGCGGTGTCTTAGCTTGCTATTGGGGATGCCGTCGAAGCTCGGTTTGGAGGACAAGACAAGTACTTCCCAGGCAAGGTTGCCAGAGTTCACAGCGACGGATCCTTCGACATCCATTATGCAGATGGCGACAAGGAATCCCATGTTGAGCCTAGTTTAGTCCGACCCGCCAAGAAGAAAGCTGAGGCCACTACGTATGACGACGATTTCGAATAACTAATTTGATTGACAGTTTCGAGTTGTCAACGTGTTTATCCGTACACCGGATACCAGAATCCTGGAGATTCGCCATCCAAACAAGTTTTGTAACACGATGATGCTTCTACGGCGGTCGACGCAACGTGTGGTAGCGCGAGCAGGACACTTTCGTCCCCAAAGCACGAACGCACTGCTCCAGTGCGTGGCAGAGCGCACTCTGCCGCCATTCAACCAAATTCGAGTCGACGAGATGGTGCCAGCCGTGCGCCACGCCATCCAGGAGTTGGACCGCGATATTGTAGCGGTGGAAACGGAGTTGCGTGCACCTGGCCGCACGTTGAGCTGGGAAAATGTCATGGACAAGCTAGAAGTGAGCGCTGATCCGTTGGAACGTTTGTGGGGCATCGTTGGACACCTCACGAGTGTCAAGAACAGCCCCGAACTCCGAGCGGCGCATGCCGAGTTGCAGGCGGAAGTCGTGACGATCTTCACTCGTTTCGCGCAAAGCCAGGACATCTTCCACGCATACAAGGCATTGCGCGAAGACGCCGCGACTTGGAACTCGTTTGACCTGGCCCAGCAGGTATCAAGCCTGGTGCTACCTTGCCTTCTCAATATAGCCAGCCGTTCTTCACATCCCGTCATGGGTATAGCGCATCCTCGAAGCGTCCATCCGAAGCGCGACACTGAGCGGCGTGGGGCTCACCGGACCAAGCAAGGACCGCTTCAACGCCATCCAATTGCGCTCTGCAGAACTCGTACGATTCGTACATTCTCTACGTAACCAAGCCAGCTAACATGGACACTTGACGGTAGAAAACCAAATTCTCCAACAACGTGCTGGATGCGACCAAAGCTTTTTCCAAAATTGTGACCGACAAGCAGGACTTGGCCGGGCTGCCGGCATCGGTGCTCCAGCTCCTCGCCCAGGTAGGCAGACCTATATGTCCTAGTTCGTTATCCAAACTTTACATGTTCAACTTGATAGAACGCGGCGGCGGACGGCCATCCTGGCGCCACGGCGGACGCAGGCCCGTGGAAGTTATCGCTGGACATGCCATGCTTGCTGCCGGTGCTCAAGTACGCCGCAAACCGCGACCTCCGCGAGTCGTTGTATCGCGCAAACGTGGCCAAGGCGGGCCTAGCCCCGTTCGACAACTTGGAAATCGTGCGGGAAACGCTGCAGTTGCGCCAAGAACGCGCGAAAATGCTGGGGTTTTCGTCGTATGCCGAGCTGAGTCTGGCGTCCAAGATGGCGCCGAGTGTGGCCGGCGTCGAGGACATGACAGAATCGCTTCGTCTCAAGTGTATTGATTTGGCTCGGCAGGAGTTCAAAGACCTGCATGAGTACGCGACGCAGCACGGCCACACGGACGAGTTGAAGCATTGGGATGTGGGCTACTGGTAGGATGACATGTTGTTCGTAACGGCAGGGAACGAGCACATGATTCCCTGGGTTTTAGGGCGGAAAAGCGGCGCGCGGATCTGTTTGACTTGGACGACGAAGCAGTCAAGCCGTACTTTCCACTGCCCAAAGTCCTCGACGGGTTGTTTCAGTTGACTGAACGGTTGTTTGGCGTCTCGATTCAAGTACAGTACAAGGAATATCATGAGCTCGTTGCACTTTTGATTGGCTAACCCACGATCGTCAGGCAGCCAATGGGGAAGCCGACACGTGGCATCCTGACGTGCAGTTCTTTCACGTCAAGGAGCACGGCAAGGTCGTGGCGTCGTTCTTCTTGGACCCGTACGCGCGGCCAAGTGAAAAGAACGGCGGCGCTTGGATGAACACTTGTGTGAACCGCAGTCGGCTGCTGGGGCGTTCGGCATCCGAACCCCGCCTGCCAGTGGCGTACCTCATTTGCAACCAATCGCCGCCAGTATGTGGTGGATCATCTACATAGGTTCGTATACCGAGGGACTCATAATACGAGATAGGTGGGCGAGACCCCGAGTTTAATGACGTTTCGAGAAGTCGAGACGCTGTTCCACGAGTTTGGCCACGGGTTGCAGCACATGCTCACGACCGTCGAGTATGGTTCAGCGGCAGGAATCAACGGCGTGGAATGGGATGCGGTGGAGTTGCCGTCTCAGTTTATGGAAAACTTTTGCTACCACAAAGGTACAGAGTATATATATATTGTAGTCCAAGTTGGTGACGATATATATATATGGTGCGTAGAAACGCTATTGTCTATCAGTGGCCACCACGAGACGGGCGCCCCATTGCCTGAGGACCTGTACAACAAGATCAAGGACGCGCGGACGTACATGGCGGCGTCGGGGATGCTTCGCCAGCTCAACTTTGGCGCGCTGGACTTGTATCTCCACCACCACTACGACCCTCATGCCACAGATGAATCGATCTTTGATGTGCAGCAGCGACTAGCCCAGCGGTACCTTTGATCCAGTTGAAGAAGGGTTCTTTATTACATGCGTCGTAGGTATTCCGTGCTCGCGCCGCTAGCCGAAGATCGCTTTCTGTGCTCGTTCTCGCACATCTTTGCGGGTGGGTATGCAGCAGGATACTACAGGTAATATGGCTGCTTTGTATATATGTACATATTGGCTTGGAGTGGTCTAATGGAGTGCAGTTACAAGTGGGCCGAAGTGCTGAGTTGTGACGCGTTCGAAAAGTTTGTCGAAGCGGGGCTGGACAACGATGCGGCACTGCGAGCCACCGGCCGCCTCTTCCGCGACACGGTGCTGGCGTTGGGAGGCAGCGAGCACCCCCTTACGGTGTTCGAACGCTTCCGCGGACGTCCCCAGCGAGTGGACGCGCTCCTCAAGCATTACGGGCTCAGCCAGGCCCAGTAGAAGTCAAAGTGTAAATCGTTGAATTGCAAGGAGTAGTACGAATAGTACTACTAGCGCTTGCATTGTACTACGTAGTAGCTACATGGTAGACAGTGTATTGAGTGTGACGTAGTCGCACACTCGATTGCTTACACTTGGTCGGCTGGAGATCGACAGTAGGTTTTGATAGGCAAATATGATTGGCTAGTGCAATGGATTCAAGCGATATGATTGGATACGAATCGTGACCGTCCGAATTAATTCGTCGTGGCTTCCCATTGGCCAGAACGTTACAATGTAACTACAAATTGGCGACAGAAGTCCACTTTGCATCATGTCGCTGGCCGTGGAGACGGCGAGGCACCTTGCGGCGGGGAGATGGACCGAGAAGAACTCGCTCTTCCGCGTGGGAGACAACATCTCGGAATGGCTGGTGATGCTGCTCATGTTGCTCGTGGTGGTCGGTGTGATTCTCTTTGAGCAAGTGTGGCACTGGCTCGGGCACAAGCTGCATCCGTACCCCAAGTACCACGAGATGATGCACAAGATCACGAGTGAGCTCATGATTCTCGGCATGTTGGGGCTATTCGTGCACTTGTTCTCGGAGGCGTACTGGATCGACTTCTACTCCAAGCCGGTCAAGGCGTTCAAGATCGCGGACCAGACCATCTTCTTCGTCGCGTGCTTCCTCATCGCGCAGGCAGTGCTCATCTTCTACGTCATGCGCCAGAAGAACATCATGACCGACCAGATCGAGCTCGTGTCGTCGCATTACATCTACCGAAAAGCCAAAGCCGCGCTTGACAAGGCCAACTACGCCAACTGGTTCCAGTACGAAGCCAAGAAGCGCCGCGCGCTGCGCGTGATGCGGCACAAGATCCTGCGGCGATTCTTCCTCAGGACGTACAACCTGCCCGAGATGTTCCAGTTCTCGTGGTACCTGCGCATGCAGCAGGACTCGCAGATCCAGCATCTGATTGACATTGAGCTGACCCAGTGGCTGCTGCTGCTTCTCGTCTGGTGTGGCTTCATCGCAGCCCACAACAGCTTGGAACGGAGCTTGGTTGTCCACGACGACGACGAACAGCCCAAGTACATACGCGTGTACGTGTTTATGGCGTTCGAGTTCGCCCTGTCCATCGTGATGGCACTCATGTGGCTGTACATTCGGCAATGCATGAACACTGTGTACAAGTACTTGGGCATCTACAACAACAAGGACGTCCTCGCCAAGATGCGCGAGTGCGCTGAAGAGGAGCGGCACACGCGGGAAAGTCAGGCAGCTTCCATCGCCCACCTCGAACGACTGCACTACAACATGGACATGCGCGCGCACGGCCACCGCTTCTTCCTCGCGACGGACCAAGGCGTCCAGCTACTCAGTCTCGCGGTGCGCAAGTGTTTTCGACACGAGGCCAAGTCGGCTTCCCATGTTCAGTTGGCGCACGGCGGCGAGTCCCCGCGCGACCACCATCCTCGTCATGGAGGTAGCCAGGCCAAGACGCTGTCAGAGCTCACGTCGATCAAGTTGCCGCTGTTCTCGCGCAAGTTGCTCCATTACTTTTTAAAGACGTTTCTTATGCTCAACGGACTCTTTGCCGCCATCGCGATGAACTCGGTCGTGTACATTTTACCAGACGTTCCAGACATGGACTACACGGTGCTCGTGGTGCTGATGGCGATCCCGCTGCTCCTGAATGCGTTCTATGTGGGGCCGCGCCTCATGCTCCAGTTTATGACGTTATCGACGCTGTGGCAACTCAACGCCGACAACGTGTCGCTCATGGTGAGCCAGTACCTGAGCACGATCGAGAAGAAGACGCACCTAGTTGACAGCATCCGTGCCTTTCTCGACAAAACGCACCAAACTGTGGACGATTTGCGCGGCGATTTAGAAAGAAACGGCGGGACCCGCGACTATATCGACATGGAGACGTTCCGAGTCGTGCTGGCCCATTACGGGTGCCACGTGTCCCTGTTCAAGTTCAACGCGATGATCCGATTGGTGTTTAAGACCAAGGGCGCGATGGTTAACTACGAGCAGTTGCTGGGGCTGCTGGCGGGGGAAGTGGACGTCTGCATCGATCAGACAGTGGACATGATGGACAACCTAGACGACTTTGACTTTACACTGGACGAACATGACAAGAAAGCCAAGGTGCTGGGTAGTGTAGCCGTGGACATTGGGGCCAGACAACCGCTCCAACCGATTGGTATTGTGGCAACCCACGACGAAGACTTTGCCACCCCCGCCGCAGATGGAGACCTTATTCACGATGCCTACTCGGAGCAGCGATAATAATAATCCATATAAATATATATATTGTGGATTCTGTATAAATTTCCTGATCAGCGAATCGAAACGCTATTGGCTAATCCAACTTTGAGGGGATCGGATTGGCTATTACAGAAAGGGATAAGAATATTCAGCCAATCAGAACTTCCAGCGTGATTCAATATTGATTACACAAACACTTCACCACGGAAGTTTACAGTTAGTACAAACGTTACAGTAGTACTGACTGAATTCATGTAAGTCTTACAGTATAACGTTGTGCTGCATTGTTACCGACCACAACTTCCCTTCATGGACTGTCTACAGTACTTGTACTTATTACTACGCAGTATGTACTGCGCACCACTACTCAGAGCATTTACTGTTAGTTGAGGAAGGGAATCACGGGTTCCAGCTTCGAGGCGGCGGTACACCGTCGGAATATCAGCTCATGTGCACTACAGTGCTTACTCGGATGTTTTCACCCTGATATATTTCATGGGAATAGTACCGCTAGTATTTAATCCAATCAGACGATAGTACTGGTACATGAAAAACGCAGTTCCGTAGCTGCAACGTTCCATAAACGCATACGTTATAGTACGTTTTAGTCCATACCTTGGCCGGTTGCTGGTATTTCCCGTATAACCATGCGCAATCAAATTAAACGTTACGTTAAAGTCTGTGGCCATGCCATTCAACACGAGAAATTCCTATTCCAAATCATGCTGCTGTCCTGGGGAAGCATGGGGCGCGTAGGTGCCGCCGTCCTTGTGCTTATCATGACGACTCTATTGCAGTCCGTCGTCGTGGTATCAGGCACCCTTGTGCGCATCCCATTGTACCGGCGACCGAGGCCCAACATCGACGCAACCTTCCCATCACTTGTAGACCCGTCGTTCATCATGAATGCTGCCGCCCGCGGCCACGTTGCCCTGACAAACTTTGTCGAGTTTCAATTCTACGGCGACATGACAGTTGGCACTCCACCCCAGCAGCTTGTGGTGACGTTTGACACGGGCAGCAGCGACCTCTGGGTCCCCGGCAGCGCGTGCGTGCATTGCGCTGGGACGCATCGGTTCCTCCCGACATCGTCGTCCACGTTTCATCTATCTTCCAATCCCAACTTCACGATCGCATATGGCAGTGGGCAAGCGCGCGGTCTGAGCGGCATCGACTCGATCTCCGTGGCCGGGTTCACGGCGACGGGGGTGCCATTGGGTGTGGTGGAGCAGGAGGAAGATTCGTTGAGCAACATGAAGCCGGACGGACTCATGGGTCTTGCGTTCGACGGCCTCGCGACGTTCTCGCATCCGCCTCCGTTCATGCTGCTCGTGCACCAGAACAGCCCGGCGTTGGCACCGCGCTTCTCATTCTACCTCACTCCCGAGCCCAACACGAACGGATCGGAAGTCATCTTTGGCGGGTACGACGAGGACCGAATGCAAGGACAGGTGTGGCAGACCATGGACGTGGTTCCTCAGTACGGATACTGGACGTTCTGGCGCGTACGACTCCATAGCATGCACATTGGATCGACGTTGAATGCATGCGACGACGGGTGCATCGCGTTCGTGGACACGGGCACGTCGCTGCTGGGGGTGCCGGAAGCGCAGTACCCGGCCGTGATGGACGCCATCTCCCAATACGCGACCAAGGCCGGGTGCTATTGTGGCTTTACAACGTACGGATTCCAGTGCTACATGTGCTCCAGGTCCAACTTCCCTCTGTTGCGGTTTGGCCTGGGTGGCCACTCGTTCTTTACGCTCACAGGTAATATTATGTAACGACAGATATATATATAAGATATTTTCAACATATTTATTTCACCTGTTTCAACCCGATATTTTATTCTTTTCTCTTTTTACACGCAATCTTTGAACCATGTCAAATGGTTGTATTATAATTATTATATTATTCTACCGTTTTGAAGATATATATATATATCAGTGTCAAATGGTTGTATTAATATTATACTAATATTCTACCGTCTTGAAGATATATATATATCAGTGTCAAATGGTTGTATTATAATTTTATATATTCTACCGTTTTGAATATATATAATATATATATGAATATTTCCCATTCATTCTTTTATAAATGCGATTAGTAGTAGTACATTGTTTCATGGGATTTGTAGGAGCGGACTACACCATGTGCATTGGCGCCACGTGTTTGGTGCTGATCCAAGAATCGGGCCAAGACATGTGGACGTTGGGCGATGTATTTTTAAAGAAATATCAGAGTCTGTACGACATTCAAGCCAAACAAGTCTCGTTTGCATGTCCTGTTCAAGCGCTTCACTGCGGCAACGAGAGCGCCGCCGACGCCGTCGCGCGCCCCATCCTCGACAACGTCAGCCTCAGCCTCTTGGACCCGCACACGATTTTAATTCTATTTCTCAGCGGATTTAGCATCCTCGGGTACGTCTTTTATACACTAAAATCACCTTCATTTACATGGATTTGTGTGTGTTTAGGTGCTTGTTTATCATTGGCACGTACTGGCTGTACCCGACTCTGCAGACCAAGCGCGTGCTTTCGCTTCTGTTTTGGCTCAGCTGGTGCAATCTTGTCTTCAACGCCCTCGTCTGGATCGGCAGTGTATGGCAGTATAGTGCTACGTCCTTGGGCTGCTCTGTCCAGCTTGTCGTGCAGCAATTTGCAGGCGTCGGCATCCTCCTCTTGAGCGCCGTCATTAGCATCGAACTGCTCCGCGCCGTGTCGGGATGGCAGACTCAGACTTCGGATCTCTCTAGCTGGTACCATTCGATCGTGTGGACGGCGTGCACTGCGTGTGCCTGTGTAACGATATGGACTGGGGTCTTGGGCTACGTCCCAGATACCAACTACGGTCCTGGCATGTACGAATATATATGTATTTGCGAGTATTCATGATATTTTTTATTAATTTTTGTCATTGTTGCTGTAGGGCGTGCTGGGTAGGCCATACTCCAATCTGGGGGCGCATTGCGTTCTTCTATGTGCCAGTGCTGCTGATCCTTGTGCTAAGCCTACATGCCCTCCAAGTAGCCATCTACCGCCTCCACAGCACGAACTTGATCCAAACAGAGTCGGGGCGGCGCAGCTCCCAACTGCTCGTGTCATATGTGATAGTGTTTGGCATCACGTCCGTCGTTCCTGCCTGTACGTGTTTGTATTGGTTGACACTATTTGCGACTGGCGACTGGATAATAGTGTATGTGTAGTGGTCGGGTTGACGGCGCTGTATGTAAACTTGCCAGAGCTGGTGCTGTACACGAGCGAAATGTGCTTTTACGCCCAAGGACTACTGCACTGCTTTGTATGGGCGTGCAGTCCATCGTTTCAACAAGCATATACGCAGCGATATTACGCCCTCGGCAATCATGAAGTCGAGGGATTAGTAGCTGAATAGATCAAAAGAAATAATACCAAGTTGCGGTCGATAGTTAATTCCATCGTATATATTTGAAAAATCAAGAATAACTAACGTAGGCGGTTATGGTGCACGGAACAGTTAAACGTGCACTCAAATGGGCCAATGGAATTGTGTCAGTTTTGGATAAGTCAATCGAATCACTAAAAAATGAAATCACCAAAACTTAAGCAAATAAAGCATACATATTTTAAGCTTAAAATGTATCCGTCCCTCGTGTTTTGCCTTGACTTGACAGTGGAAATCGAAGTAAATAATGAACGCAAATTGGTCATTGACATTATTAGGCTCACGTTATTGTGAATTCGCGTTTGGGTTTTTGTACAGGGGGTATTTAATCACAGTGGAACTTTTGATTGGCTGAAAGATGTGGATTGGCCAAATCCACAATATAAAGTGACATTTTTACCAAAAAAAGTCGAATTTTCTTCAGATTGTAATTAAAATATTACTTCGAAGTATGTATTACTAATTAGTAATATTAATAGTAACGTCAGATAAAAAATATCGTGACAAAAATTATCAAGATATTCGGGCCGAAATACAAAACAAAACACGATAAAACATATTCAAGTATTGACAAGATACTCGGAGTATGTATAGGAGTCGTTCCCATTTGTACTGTTTCAAAATGTGCATAAATCGCCTCTATCACTTCGAAACTTGTACGATAAATCGCAAAGACGTTTAACTGTAAATCCATTTCATAATATGAGACATGTAATATACTTGAAGTACATTGAAATTCCACGAATGAAAAACCTAGACTGTTATCGTTAAAATAAATCAATCTGTCGCACGAGCTTGGGCTTCTGTACGGCTAGTGTGCTGCAGCTTCCTCTAAGAGGATTCCATCAATAAACGTCCGCAAGGCAATCAGGTCAATGGAGATCTGGGGATTCGCGAGGGCTGCCAAAGCTGGTGGCATTGCAACACCAGTGTAGATAAGAGCAAGTGGAAACGAAATCGCAAGTGGAGGCAAACGAGGATGACCAAACGCCACTTCTTGATTGGGCTGGCCACGCTGGCACAAGATTGCCGTTCGATTGGCGTTGACAGCATTGATTTTGATTCCAATCGCCACCTGGACAGAAGTGTTGTGCATCCAACGCCCAAGTTTCGCACGGAGTCGATCCAGGTCGTCATTCTTGTAGGCGATCTCAACAATGACATTGGGGTAGGCATGGTTGTCTGCAGCCTCCAGCACCGCTCCTCCAACTGCCAGACCCGCAGGATAAATACACATGTCTGGTTCTTGACCATGATTTCCAGTGCGGCATGTTGGATCAGTTGCTAGGTCAACTGTATCCAACAGGTCAAAGTCATTCCCGGTCCTTGCGACTTGATCGCGGATGGCGGTTGCGATTCGACCTGCTGTTTTCGAGTGAACGACGGACGAGATGCTGTACAAGACCACTCGTCCTTTCCCCGTTCCATCTGCAAGGGGCTCAAAGACCCATCGTCTCACTCGCCCTTCGTTGCGGTTGAGCCATCCTTGGAAATCGTCCCACGTGATGGCAGCACACAGAACGACAGGTCCCCAAGAAGCATCGCCATCGTCATCGATGTTTGGCGCGTTGGCGGGTGGGTCGTCCCAGATGGCTTGCAGTTTCTTCTTTGCCTCGTCACAATCTGACATGTGGATGAGATGTTTTCGTCGCAGTGCATTTTGCGATTCTGCTGGTACCAAGTCTGTGTCCTGTGTCGTAGATCGCGTTGATGGATGTCTGATACTGCCACCGAAGTCGATGCGTGGTTTCGTCTTCCTCTCGTTTGCAAGCATCTCTTACTTCAAAGGTCGATTTGGAAATGAAATGGACATTTTCAAGAGAATTTGGGACCTGCTGTCTGATTGGCTAGTTTGAAAGTACACGTCACCGATTGGTAGATTCAAGTTTATCCGGATGGATTGCGTCCCGTATTCCTCCGAGTTACAGGTTGTTTTGTTTTGTATTTCGGCCCGAATATCTTGATAATTTTTACTGTACAGTACCTAAATTCTATTTTGGGAGCTGCGGGAACAGGACACAAACACATCTGTATGAAGAATTAAGGGCCCTTGACTCCTTCAAATCGTCGTGTGCCATTGTCGAGGGGATATATATGCAACTTTATTCAAGTTGTCACGTGCGAGTCAACCAGGAACTGAATCTGCCACTTCCACCGGATCAAACGACGTGTGCATGCGCGCGACAGTAACATATTATTATTCGCATGAACATATTTATGCTGATTTTTGTATTAAATATGCGTGTTTTTATTCATCCCCATAATTATTTTTGCGTTTTGCAAAACGATTTATACATCCTGCAGATTGCGCAGGCGTACATGCGGGAAAGGCGCGATGCAGGTCAGCGGTTTCTCAATACATACTGCACAACGGGTCACGAAACTCTCCAGTCCTCATAACAACAACCAATACTATCAAGAACACCTTATTGCATGTCGCCTGAATCAATAACTGTAGAGAAAGACAACTTCGAACTTGCCAAATTCGTCGTATTTCAAGAACAAGCGTGTACATGCGGGTAAGATGCCTTATGCCAGAGAGAGCTGTGTCTGCGCAGACCATGCTGCATAGGCTGAGCTAGTAATGGGCTATCTTGTAGTATCAGAAGGATTGCGCTAAGTATCACACAGTACGAGAAAAGCGACATCGAAGTTGGTCCATTTTCGATATATGAGCATGTCGACATGCGCAATAAAAATCTATCATCCGCAAATGTTATGCAGTATCCGGAACTGCTCACTTTTCAATGTAAAACGACGCGAATTTTCTGAATATGCAAGCACTACACTTGCAGCGAGCGATAGAAAGCGTATCAGTACAGCAGCCAAAGTC